GTTTTTGTAAACACGTTTTCTTGCAGGGGATTGTCTCTTCTGTGAAACGTTTGCATGGGATTTCTGTAGTTAAAAAAATACACAACTGCTTTGTTTTCCCCCTCTGCTTGCCTGCGGTGAGTAGGAAGGAGAAGGAGAATGCCTGGCAGAGACGGGTAAAGAAGAGAAAGGGGAAGAAACGAGCCCAGAGAAGCAGTGCGGAAGGTGCCAGTGAAGAGCAGGGAGAAGAGAAGCAGCAGCCTCCAGCAGGTCAGGCGAGAAAGTGCCCCTCCCAGAGCAGCGTCCCAGAAAAAGGAAGGCGGCGAGAAGTTGGAGTCTCAGGTGAGCCTCCTGCTGAGGGAATGGGTCGTGGGTTTTGGTGACTGATAAGTTGAAGGGTGAGAAGCAGTCTCTAGGTTCAGGCAGGCCTCGGTCAGACACAGCAGTGGAGCAGCTATTTATTTAACGTTTGTGCACAAACGGGTGTCCTGGCAAGCAGGCACACACAGCAAAGGCAGAACTTTGATTTGTATTTCCTTTCCCATCCTCAAGTTCCCTCCCTTGTTACCCCATTGGTTGGGGACTCCAAGGTTTACAGCCTCTCCGACGTGTATAATCTACGTGCTAACTGTCCCGCCTCTGGTTCCACCTCCCCTTACTCAGTTTCGTACACCCCTTCCTCTTACTTCTTTCTTTCTCTCCTTTTAGGGTTTGATTTCATAACTCTCTGGCAGGCACATGATACCCCAACTTACTGCTTAACTACAGCAGCGGTTTGCACCGGCTTAGCTTCATAGGCTGTACAAAGATAGAGTTCTTTTGCACCACAGAGCATGTCTGTTGCCCACAGATGCCGTTGTCTTTAAGCACAGAGTGTGCCTGTTTAAGTCACGGTATTTCAAACCCTATGTTTCGTTCCCTGAGTAACTTAGCCCCAGCCCCAATATTGCAAAGTCTTAGTATTACAAAACCTTAATATTGCAAAGCCTCATCCCGAATATGCAAACCCAACAGTGTTTCTCTCTCATGCGTGATTTTTCCCCATAGGGAGCCTGCCATTTTCTTTTCACAGAATCATAGAATGGTTTGGGTTGGAAAGGACCTTAAGATCATCCACTTCCAATTCCCCTGCCGCAGGCTGGGACACCACACGCTAGATCGTGTCGTCCAAGACTCCGTCCAGCCTGGCCTTAAACACTGCCAGGGATGGAGCATCCACAGCCTCTCTGGGCAACCTGTTCCAGGGCCTCCCCACTCTCACAGTAAATGCAGTTGTTTTCATCATTCAGAGAATCTTTTTGGTAACGGATCAGCGCAGCTTACAGATGGCATCACAGATGGCACAGCTTCTAAGTACCCAAGTTTGGATCATTAATTCTTTTCTCCACCTTGGAGCAAGAGTAGTCCTAAAGCATTGCTGCCTGGTTCTTAGTTGTTCTCAACATGCACCAAGTAACAGAAAAGACCCGAAGGAGAAGCTCTTGGGGTTTTATTTCTGGTGTTTAGGCAGTGCCATTCGAGAGGAGACTGAGAGGTCTGGGAGCAGGCAGCTGTAAGCACACCTTCCTGGGATACCTGCGGAGCGGCTTGCTTTGCTTATCTCTGTTTCCCAGTGGTTTTAAATCCTGAATTGTGAGAATTAAGTGAATCGGTTGATCTCAACAGAGCACTTCTGCATGGAAATAGCTGCTCAGGAGGGAAAGATGCCTCTTAGTCATGGTGCTTAAGAACTAGACGTACATTTGTTTGATTTTAAAATTCATACCCTTCCAAATGCACTGGCAAATGCATTGTGTCCCTTTCCAAATGCTGCAGTAAGCATTACTGAAGGCAATTCCATAGAACAGGGCAGTTTGGCAGGTGGCCTTTTTTCTTGCTTTCTGGTTGCACTGACTTTCCTTACCCTTCTCTACCCCCAGTGTGTCTTCTTTTCTTGCAGCTTATGTCTCACATTGCCCAGGCAGGTTTGTGACCTACATTGATATTCAGGCTTCCTACAGATACAAACCCGATCAGTGGAATTACTTGAAGCAGTTCTGCAGACCTGGTTTTAAGAGTCCTCACAAGGTCTGTGTGTATCAGGAGGAGATGGAATACATTTTGTTTCTTCAAGCAATGTGTAATAAGCATGGTTTTACTGAGCTACAGCAAAGCTTTGAATTATTCTGATCTCACCATATAAGGAGTTGTCCCATACATACGCTTTGACAGTGATTTGGTCAGGGATGAAGGTCTTGTATGCACATCCCATCTCTAACTCTTTCAGTGATTACTGTTTCCTTAAAGAGTATCTGCAGCTACCCATGTGGTTGCAGTACTGTGAGAAGTATCCTTTAGTACTTAAGTACCCCGCAGCAGTCGAGCAGAGTGTCTCAAAGCAGTTCTTAAGGCTCCTGTTGTGTAGAGCTCCTCAGTAATTTAGCTAGGCAAAGAAGTCTGTCTTTCATGGAACTGGTTTTGGACTCAAGTGTACTGTGTGATTTCTCCCATCTCTAAACCGCCTTGCACTAAAGCTGTGTTAGTTGTGTTAAATTCTTACTCTTCTTTAGGAGAAAAGTAAGGGGGAGGCAAGGAGCGATTGCCCAGTCATTGCTGCTTTACCTGCCGATCCAAAGTGAAGAGGTCTTTTCTTTCTTGTCACTAGAAAAGTAATGAATAGTCTTTTCCCAAATCCCATTGAGAGGCTGGATTCTCACATCATGAATGTGTCTTGCAGCTCCAGCAGTCATGTTTGGGGAGGAGGCTAGAGAGTCCAGTTTGGGGCATTTTCTCAGAGTGGGTGGGAAACAAAACCCACGTATTTAATTCTGCTGTGTATTCAGCATTCCCGGTTTTCCCCTTTTCAGTCTGTTGCTCAAGCTCTACGTGATGAAGGTTGTCCTTTGATGTTAATTCCAAGCAGGCCTTGTGAGTGGTTCTGTATCTTACACACATCTTAGCAGACTGTAAGCGTTCACATGAAATCACAGCTCCAGCCTGAAAAGTGTTCTGTGGCAAGACCACGAGGAGCTGGCTTTTACCTGGCAGTGGCCTCCATTCAGTTTTAAACAGTTTGAAAGTATGAAGCTTTATCATCATTTTTTCTAGAGAGCCATCCATGGACACTTGGAGTGTGATTGGGTCAAGCTGAGCTCTTTCTTGCTCTTGAATCATTACTGATAAGAAGTGGTTTACGGTGCAAACTGTTCCTTCCAAAACATGTGAGCACCCAACCGAACCCAAGCCAACCTGTTGTCAGGAAGGAAATGCCACGACTGTAGGAAAGCTCCTCTGGGCAGCTGTTGAAGTTCAGGTGGTGCTTGAGCCCAGTTAACCGGGCAGCTTGCTTTTCAGTGCTGCACATAGTGCTGCCTATGGAGAGCAGCAGAGGAATTAAGGGGACAAAAAGCTGGTTGTGTCACTGTGGTCAGCAGGTGCTTTTGAGTAGACAGGCAGAGGTCTCAGAGCTCAAGAGTATCTGTCACTGACCTAGAAGCTCATGCAAATAAGGAAGTGCTGTTACTTTTTTCCATGCTTTAAAATAGAGATTGTGTAAAGCAGGCCCAGGCTGTCAAAAAGAGAAAATAATGGATGAAGCACTAAAGAATTAAAAATCTGTATGAAAAATGATGTGCTGACCCAAAAGACAGAAAATCATTTGCAAAGAAGTTCTTACCTTCTTTTTGCCTACAGCCAGAGGTGAAGATCAGAGAGGGAAGAAAAGAGACATGTTAGTTAAGTGTTTCCTGAGAATAAGTGGGGGAGTAGATATTGCAGACTGAATATTGAGCCCAGGCATCAGTGCTTATTGGAACCTGATAAGGAAAGTGCAGAACCAGAAGATAAAGGTGACGTACAGCTGTGTAAGAGGACTGACCTACTCTTCCCTTTGGAATGAAACCTAGGATTTGGTGCAGCAAAGAGCAGGGCAACATAAATGAGCATGTGAACGTCTGTCCTTGTCTCTCTCTTTTATAAACTCCTCCTCTCTCTGTCTTACCCATAGTTTCTGTCTTTTTTTCCATTGCTTCCTTTTTCTATTGCTTTCCATTCCTGCTTTCTTTTGGTATTTTGAATAGTTCCGAAGAGATGCTTCCTGGACTTCTCCATGAAGAGTGGTGTGCTGGCTGTGGCAAATCAGACTACCTTCAAAGACGGAAGAGGGAAAACAAGAAACGTAACCGACCTCAGGGGAGCTGCAAAGTAGGTTTTACCCTTCTTAAGTGCTTGTGTGTTGGATTCTGAGACTGTGAAATAATTTAGGAATTGGAAAACAAAGATCAGAATCTGTTGTATCAAATGGCTGAGGGTACCCGGGCGAGACTTCCTGGTAGATGGTTTCTGTGCCTGAGCACTTGCAAAGTTCCAGTAGGGAAACCCAGCACTGTGTTATGCAGAAATGAACAAGGAGCCACAAGCTTTAGTGTTCCTCAGAATGACTGTCAGTTTTGAAAACATTCCACTTGGTTTTCCTAGCCAAAATTAATAGCAAGGAAAGTTAAAGGAGGTTCAAATTGAAGTCTTCATGCAGCAGGACTCGGGCCAGCCAGTGATGGCCTCAGCTCTTCCTTCCTACAGCAGCCTTCCTAGTACTGTGGATTGTCCTAGTACTTTTGCATCTCACCTCATCAGCATGCTCCTGGTTTTAGCACACGTCTGAAGGTCAAAAGGCAACGTCCTGGGCTCTGATGCCAGACAGCACCTCCCTTGCAGATGGACAGCAAGCATCTCCAATGCTGGGTAGCAACCAGCTACTCTCCATCCTCAGGCAGTCTGGAGCACAGGGGTACCTTTTCTTACCTCTCGATCTGAGGCTGCCACATTCTAGCACCTTCCCAGCAGTGCTAGCACCAGCACCTTAGGAAGTTTCCTTCTTCTGGCATCTACAGCTACATTGTTTGTTCTTTGACAAGATGATTCTTCATTTCTTCTTAGGAAACGTTAATATGGGCAAGCACTTTTCAGGACAGGAAAACAACTCCAGGAAGTCCTCCTTTTGCTTCACTGAGCAGTTTTCTGCTTCTCTGCTATTAGCAGTCTTGTCTTTTCTCAGCAGCATCAGTAATATCCTGGATGCAAGATCAATTGGAGTAAAAAGTTTTGAAGACTATGCTATTTCTTGGTACTGGATTTTAATGTAAGATTCTAATGGGTAATTTTATGTTTTTCCAAACTCACTATGGAATGTGTAGGGAATTGAAGAATTGATCACGTACGTGTTTGTTACCAAACCTACTTTTAAGCTTTGCCGTAATGTTGTTATGGTTCTGTATGTGAGGTAAGGATAGCACAGCATACATGCATACAGTATGGTCTGGAGTAGCTTTTGAATATCCTACCAGGCAGAAAGCCAAGAGGTGCTGCTGTCTTCTGTTGCAGGACCCATCTGCCTGGTAATTCCAAACCTAAAAATTCTGGATTACGAGACTTTCAAACCAATTGCAGTTGCTAAATGTCGTGAGTATCTCTATAAAACACATCCCAATTTCCAAATTGATACTAGCAATATGTAGTTAAATTCATTGTAATACACAAATCCAGTGCAGCAGGCAAAGCAACTTAAAGAACAAAAACTACTGAACAGAGTTAGCTTTATCTTGCAATTCTTACTCAATAATGAGCAATTAGTAAAAATGCAGCACCAAAACAAAAGAAGTAGCTATTTTGCTGCAGCAGATCTGTGAGTATATATGCCTAAATGGCCGTTCCCTCTAGATCTGTTATTGAAATCAGACTCATGGTGCAGATTCTCTCAAAGGAGATGCTGCTCAACAGATGGGCTGGAGAGAGACTTGACCATTTTCTGAACAGACTTTCTCCATACTGAAGCCAGTTTCCCCATTTCAAATAGGATACTTTTATAAGGGATTGTTGTTACTTTTAAAGTAGTTGGGTAGAATTTTCCTCACACTTTTCACCAAATGACAGCATGCATCCAGTGATTTCTGGGCAAGCATATGAAAGTTCCAGAGTTTGGGTGATGAGAGTGAAGGCCTGATGGTGAAAGGAGGTGGGATGAAAAATCTAATATGGAATTGCTCTGTTCTTTTTATCCTACTCCCAAAGAACTGCTGCTTTCAAGGCTCAGTTTAAGGGAAGCACTCTATTAATGACGGTTGTTACCATGTATTCATTCAGTTTTGGTGTTACTAGAGCAAATCTGAAGCTAACCGTAGATAAAGGTATCTTACTACCTTGAAGAAGAGATTCAGGAACTCCAAAATGACAGTGCTTTTTTTGAGGAATGCATTCTGAATTTCAAACAAGCCATTCAGAAAGGGAACACGCATCATGCTGGGAGGCCTCTAAGGGGCTAGGACTTAAGACCAGTTTACAAAGGCTTAACTAAATAAACTGATGTTCTTTTTCTTGTCCCTCTGCCCGTCTGGCTTAGTTTGCCCAAAACATCCGGTTTTGATTGTTTGTGGTCAGGGTGACCCTTTTGTTATCTTTAGTCACTGGCTAAATAAACTGGGAACGTTCAGAAGAGAAGTTCCTGACCACAGGGAAGAAAAGGGTTTCATTTCTTTTGTGGCTGTTCTAACACAAAATTCTGATGTAACACCTCAAAGTTCTCGAGAAATGAAATGTTCTGTGAATCGTCTGAGCGGGATCTTTGTTGGATGGAACCATTGTTCCCACTGCTTTATTTGCATTGCTTTAGAAGAAACCTGCTGAGTAAAGGCCTTTTGCAGTCATTCTTTCCTTTCTGACTTGCTTTCTGGGAGTGAAATGAAAGCAAATGTTTCCTTAGCACAGACTTGATAAAGACACTGGAGATGTCCATCCTAGGGGTCCCACTGATGGCTCTGAACAGGTTCTTTTTATGGCTCACTATGCCCTGATCATTTTCTTCTCCGATGGGTAGAAAGGATCACTGGTTTTCCTCCTCAAATGAGTTCTTTTTTTTCTAGGAAAGCTCCTCAAATGTTACTTTCCTAATATTGTTTCTGTGCAAGCAGGGATTTTAAATAGAGGACATAAACCAGTAACCTCCCCACACCCAGGTATTTCTCCCATTTAAGTTTGTGTGCTGTAGACTAGGCCATGGCCTGGAAAAGGCAGTGAGTTGGTCAGCCAGTGTAAATGACCAAACCAGACGTGTGCTGGTCCCATTCAGACACCCTGAGAACTCGGTGTACGCAGACAATTCTGGCTGTGTCCAGATCATCATATATAATCTGTCTGTTTCTAACAGCAGAGAGCCATGAGGAAATATTTCATAAGGAAGATTTTGAAATACATTTTTGCAAACCGTTCTCCTACATGAGGTGAAGGGACCCTCATTTGGAGTAAGAGGCGTGCAAGAAAGATGCTCACACTTGTTCTGCCTGGGTTTCTGTTTCTTGTCTTTCTAGTGGGCTGTTCGTTGCAATGATTGTGAGTCTGCTCTTCCTTGTGTTATTGAGGTTCACAGCTGGGATTCTCTTCTGGATTTTCATCTTTGGCGTGACTGGAATTATAGGTTATGGTAGGTGTAATCCTCCAGGCTCTGAGGCTGTTTTTCCTTATTGCTTGATTTTGGGCAAGGAAAGTAAGTGATTACATCAGTTAAATGCTGTAGTTGGGAGAACTAGTGCCTAGGTTTAGACTCAATTAAATGAGAAGGGCCTAAATGGCAGCGAAATTCAGTAAGAATCCAGCTGTGCTGATACTTAGCCCCAGATGTAGTAACCTGAACTATTTACCCCCAGTGTACTTAGTCCACTTGTTCTGATCTTTCTTATCTGTAGATGTGATGTTATAGCTGGCTAGTCTCGCAGTAACGCGTGTTTAGTTTTGCTTCCCTGACATGCTGAGGACAAAACGCTTCACTTGTCAAAGATTTAAATAACCCCAACCTTGTCTTGGCACTCTTCAAAAACGCTCATTTGATATTGATTGATTTTTAACAGGCATCTGGCATTGTCGCTGGGAGTACGACCATCTTAAAGGAATACCTGGATCTGAGCTCACTGTTTCTGGTACTGAATTCCAGACAGACTTGAGAGTGCACCTGCAGCTGAGGCAAACATGGTTAGCATTTAGTAAGTGCCCTTTAAACTTGGTATCCGTTAAGGGATGTTCAGAAGATTCAGTCGCTGTCTTGCTACAGTTTCTGCCTTGTTAAATCTCCTCCTCTACATATGTTGCTCATAGAAGTAATCAGAATTCACTTTCTTTGTATAGTACAAAAATCTACCTTTTCTGCAAAGCGACTAGCGTATGTGTAAGGGGCCAGAATGCAGTCGCACTAGTGATGAGAGTGAAAAAGGCTTGTGTTCCTAGCATTCTACTTCCCGTGTGTTCAGTCTTCACAATGAGGAAGCAGAAGGCAAGAACTAAGTCCCGATGAAGATAAGGAGGGGCATTTTTGTCTCAGTCTGTTTATGCCCCCTCCTGGAGGGCCCCAGAAATGAGACGAATAACTGTGCATCTTTTGTAGACCTGTTTACATTCAGGTGACTGCATTTTCTTGGAGGCTGTCCTGAGGCTGTGTAATGAACCATCACAAATGTCATCACTTCTGGTTTTCAGAAGTGCTTCAGTGCTTTCTCTTACAAGGGCAGTGTATTTAAAACAATCCTACTGGAACAAGACAAGGAGGGGCACAAGAGAGAACAAATACCTGTCAAATACTATTTGTGCTGCTGTTACTACTCTATGAGCAGGCCCGAAGGCACTAACTGATGATGAATGGCACATAGCCTAAAGCAGTGCTTCTCCCAATTGGTAGCTAAATGAATAGAGCAGTAGTTTACTCCTTTAGTCTGCTTTCTCTGCTTTGTGTCTTCAGGTAACTGTGTTGGATCATTGAGCTCAGGAGCTTCTTTGCATATTGTTGAGGCAGAGCTTTTTAGCATGCTGGCCCTAGAGAATATTAGGATTTTATTCCATCTTTCTGTGTAACTCCCCTGCCTGATACTTAGCAGCCAATGTACAGTTTATCCAGAGGTCAGTGTCACTTTCAGATGAGTGAATTGAGGTACTACTAATGGGGACAAGCTACCTTAACTTAAAAGGTCTGAACTGGGCTGAGACCAACTGCAAAGCAACCTGCCTATGTATTCCTTCATGGAGAAGCATATTAAAAATAGGTGCTGAAATGTGTGTAACAAAACCTTTGTTCTGAAGAAAGTCTGTGGCTCTGAGCACCACAGGGGTCACTTGCCACATTCAGTTCTGATGGCTAGGGGTACTGCTATCAGTACTGGGGATCGCAACTGAACATCATCTCTGACTATCTGGGTCTGGATTCTGAGGCTGTGTCAAAGCTGTGGGACCTGAAGCCAATTCCCCTGTCCCTGTGCAAACCTCCAGACGCCACGGCTGAGGGATACCTTCCCTTTGTCTTCCTCTCCCTCCACAGAACTCTTGGTTTCAGCTGGAGGAGACAGGGCCTGCTGTGTGTAACCATCCACCACTGCTGGGCTGGTTTAATTGTTGCCTAACCCTCTGAGGCACCCAGAATTAAGGGATGTGTCTCAGGGTGAGAGGAGGTGTGCTTCAGGCATTTAAGACTCTGCCTTCTCGAGGTGGAGTCCAGAGAATTCTTTTGCTTCCTATTGCAGCAGTAGGATTTGAAGTGACACAAATAAAAATCAGAGAGAAGCCAACTCTTTAAACAAGATCTGGGTTATGAATCAAACACTGCTCACAACTAAGAGAGGAAATGTTTCGGGACATGGTGCTCTCAGCTCTCTAACCTCAGAGCAAGTTTGTGTGATTCCAGCATCACAGCTGGAAGGTGAAAATCATTTGACCAAAACTGGACAAAAAAAAACCCAAAGCCCCTTTGTTTTCAGAAGTGCTTCACAAAGCCTCTTTGTTTTTTTTGACAGGAATGAGGGGAAAGGAGCTCACGCCAAGCTAACGCTCAGACGAGCCTGTTGATTTAAGTACACGTAAATGTTAAAGGAGTATGTATCAGAAAACTGCACTCTTCAGGCAAAGTTGACTCTTCATCTCCTTTTTATTTGTTGTATCTAAATACCACGGATGAGCAGCATTAGAGTATAAACGTGCAAAATGCTTGTTATGAAAAGCAGAATTTGTTAGGGGTGTACTGGCAGGGTGGTGCCCATTCTGACAAACTCTGGGCATGTAGAATTTCCCCCCCCAAAGCTATGAAATGGGGTTGATGATTGGCAGCTGCAGTGAGAGAAGGAAAGAGCTGCTCCAGCAGGGAATTCTATGGAGTTCATGAACAATAGTGCAAAACACAAGGGGTGGGGAGAGGGGGGAATTACAGAGGCAGCCTATTGGTTTGGTTCTTCATAAACCTAACTTTTGTGTGTTTCCAGGGGTAATACTTTATGGTGCTGAGGTCATAATCATACTGATGCTGATCTTCCTAAGGAGTCGGATCCTGATCGCCATTGCATGGTGCTTATAAGAGATTTCTTGTTTGCAGTAAGAGATTTCTTATCTCCCTTACTGCCTTAAGAGTACAGATGCTGTTAGCGGCCCCATGAATCCTGGGTGAAAGGAGGTGTGTGCCCAGTGTGGGGCACTGTTAATAGGAGCCTAAGAGCTACAGCTGCCAGCTTTGCTCTGTCATTGGATTGTCTCCAGAGAGACATATACTAGTGGTAGAGGAGTGGTGTTGTTTTGGCTGGGGCTTTTAATTTAGGAAAGACCTTTTTTTCTGGAAATGCATAAGTCTGCAGAGGGAAAAGGAGAATTCCACGAGTAGACATTGTGATGTGGTGTGGTCCAAGGCTCTTCTTTTCAGCTCTGCTTACAAAGGAAAGCAGAGCAGGATGTGAGAGTTGGGAGGCCTCTTCATTTTGTGTTTTCTGAAATCTGGATAGGCTTTATTCACAGTGGTTCCTGGTTTATCCAGTGCCAACTCTTAGTTGTGGTTTGAGTTTGGTTTAGGTTTGTTTTAATGGGAACATAAGAAAGGAGAAATGGATTTAACACGCCCTTGGATTTAATTGCAAATGAGCTAAGGCCTTGAGGGCCTCGGAAGTAGAGCTCTGTTAGAGCACATGGAGTTAGCTCTGAGTTTCTCTGTGTGCACTTGCTTGTAGTTTTCTGCCCTCTCTGTTGATGTTATGGTTCTCAGGAGTCAGGGTTTAGGATTTTTGTAATGGGATTGGGAAATGCTGAGGTTCTGCCTTCAGCCAAGTACCTGTTTCCTGTCTTACGCTACTGTGCAGTCAAAGCATTGCAATTAATTTTGGCAGGACTGAATTATCCTCTTCAGTTCCTGTTCATGACAATACAGGAACACTGTTAACGCTCTGCAGCACTTTTGTTCACAACCTTGACAGGTAGAAGGATTTCAGGAAGTTCATAAACTTCCTGCTGGGAAGTGCTAACATTCTGTAGTTTTTCAGCAGCAGGGAAAGGTCACTTGAGGGTGATGGTTTTACTCTCCTGCCTAATGCATGAGGTGAAGCTCTGTGTGCAATTCCTGGAAACCTAACAGCCCATGCCCTGTGTTCGGGAAGGTGCAAACCAAGCTGCTAATGACTGGAAATTAAATTGCATTTTTCAATACCTTTTAACTCCTCTTTCAAAACTACTGCAATTGTCTTGAAATCCATAGGGGCAAACAGTTAACAGTCGTTACTCCATCCATGGTGTCTGTGGAAACCAAGGGGCCTATCGTGACCTGCTGCACGCTGCTAGTACGTAGTGACTGTTTCTGCTGTGTACCTCTACTGGACTTCTGCATTTCCAGACTCAGACAGAAATGGATGTGTTGCTCTTCAGCTCCTGATTGCACATGAGGGTTTGCACATGGCAAATTGATAATGTTGATTGTAGTGCTGCTGATAAAAGCGGAGTGGTAGAAATGGCAAAGTGAAGATGTAAAGACATCTGAAGAAAGAGCCTGCAGTATTCTGAGATCCCAGCTCTAGATTATGCTGCCACTATCAATGAGTAGCTCAGAGTCAAAAGGATGATGCTAGAAGAGGACTGAAAAAAAAAGCTTCTTTCTTAAATTGCTGCAGCTTACTGACATGTTTTGTTTCTTTCACAGGACTGCTGGCTATATAATGTCTGTGTTGTTCTAGCCAATCGTCACCTTCATACTCATTGCAGTTTGTATTTCCTATGAGGCTGTGACAGCTGTGTATCCTTCTATCTGTGTACCTCTCTGGAGGAACAGTCTTCTGGTCTACAAGACCGGGTAAGTCTCTGCTTTCACCTTAGCCAAACCAGTGTTAAAAGGGCTATTTGGTCACTTGGCACTTGCTGCACAGGTGCACTCCTCCTCAGTGGCCATTTGCGTGTGATGTACCAACTGGATAGTGAATTCAATGTCATTAGAAAGAACTGGACTAAAACCCATGCCGAGGTAGAGGATCATACAAGGTCTTTTATACTACATAAGGTTGGCTTCAAGGGGTAAAAAAGGAACCTCAGCAAAGAGTGACTATGCCCTTTCTTGGCTGTATGCTCTGTGAACCTGATGTTAATGGTCGCTTAGTTATCTTGGGTGGGCTCCACGTGTGTTTTGTACAGAATAATGTAGGGAAGGAGTGAGAGAACACAGAGCGCCTGGAGTCCTCTGAATTGCCTGACAGGAGCCATTGTCTGTCCCTGGAAAGGCAAGGCTTTGGTAAAGTGTCAGAAAGGGGACAGTCATGTTTTGCAAGCAAATTGTTCTTTGTCATGCAAAGAGGGCCATGGCATACAGCTCTGGGATGAAGTCTGCCTGAGTTCTGTAAGTAATGAAAGTATTCAGTCTTGTCTGTGGCCCTTCATACCCATCTCTGCATAGCAAGAGCGTTTTTCTGTGAGCGGCACAAGTGTTTTAGAGCTTGTGGTTACCCCCTGCAGACTCCTGAGTTGCTCAAAGCCCACAGCTCTGGGATTCCTCCTTCAAAAACCTCATTCAGTTTTCTGGCTACATCAGGAGGACCTGTGTATAAAGTAATGGCTAATCCAACACCATGCAAGTATGCAAAGCTGACTTGTGACCCAGAGGGAGGTGTTACAAATACTTCCCTGCTGTGAGAGCTATCCTAATTGTATTTCTTAATCGCTGTTAAATGCAGTGTGAGAAAATGTGCGTACCTTAAGTAATGATTCCTCATGTTAAATCTGAAAATAGTGCTTCGTGTTCAGCTAAGACTCCTTTGTTCAAAGCAATTTAGAGCTATGAAGCATTTTCTTTCTGCAGTGTCCTGTTAGCAGGTGAGTATCAACCAGCCTCATT